ACCATGATTGGCTTAGCCTTTCCTCCTTTTAGGTTGACTGGCTCAGGTATTTTTCTAGTAATGAAAAGCTGGCTAACACAGAATGTTAGGAGAAAGAAACAAAGTGGCCACAGCTATTAAGGAGGAGGAAGGAAGAAGTGATGGTTAAACAGAAACCATAGGAGGGACATTGTCTGTGTTCAGATCTTCCCACAAAATACCCTCAGAGGACAGGTTCAGCATATGATGATGGTCAGACTCTCTAGGTGCCCCCTCCCCTCAACCACCCAGGGCCAGAGAACACCTGCATGAGTCATGTATTAAGTTTAAAAGAATTAGGATCCAAGCAGCATAAAGAAGATGCCTTCTCCAGATGAGGACTGGCCCTAGCTATCCATGGTTTCCCAGAGTTTATGAATGCAGATACCCTTTGGTGGAGCTACACTGACCACACTACCCACATCTCAGCAATTATAACACCCATGGACTGAGGAGGGACCACTCTACTTGCACAAAATAAAATCATGTCCCTCAAGTGTCACATTGTTCCTATTTTGCAGAAGAGGACAACAGGTTTTACTGATGTCCTATGTCTCCTTCCCTACTTCACAGGAAGCTTTTGAGTGTTTTATTCTCCTGACCCTCACTCATATCAGAGCAAAGCATTTAACATAAATGAGGTTTCCTAACTTTAGCTGAATGAATGGATAAAAAGTGAGCCTCTTAGGAATGAGGGTCAAGCAGTTTGCTTTCTTCCTAGCCTAGTGCTGGGTCTTGGCAGGGTTCTGTGCTTTCTGTCCTCCTTGCACCCTCATCTGCTCACTGATGCTGGAGAAACCAACTCTGTGAAACCAGGCCAAGCAGTTTCCTAAGCTCTTCCCCATCGCCCTCCACCACCTCTTTCCCCATTCACCACCCACCACTTTCGTTACCAGCCTCAGAGCACGCACGCTTCCTCTTTCAGAAAGCAAGTCCTTGTAACGTACTTGTTTCTCTGCCATCCTTGATTACAACTACTCTTCTCCAAAGAGTCTGTGGCATCGCTGCCTTCTGCTTGGAGAATCTCTGGCAGCTGCCTCTCCCTCTAAGATCAAAATTCCACAAAGGAGCATCTGTGGTGTCTGTGGCCAGCAGAGCCGGACTCCTGTGACATGCTCTCTGGCTAGTGGGACCACTGGCATCCCAGGCTCAGCTGAGTGCTGCTCAGAAGTGCTGACTGCAGCCAGGGGGCACGGAGGCCCCACACACTCACATTTGAGAACTGCTGCCGGGAGGATTTAGCATTTTTTTAAAAGTAGGCACTGATTGCAACACAGAGAGAATTTCCTCAATGACAACTTAGAAAAGGCTTCAGGGGCAGTAAGCCAGGGTGTCACGCATGCCAGGCACACACTACCACTGAGCTGCAGCTGTAGTACAAAGTTTCAAATGTATCTACGTCTGAACAAAATCTCAGAAAGACATAGTTTTAATCTTGCTCATGTTTATGTAACTTTAAATTCAGAAATTACTTTCAGGAATAACATGCAGCATATGCAGTCTAGCTTATGCTAATGAACTAGCTGTGACATACATAATACTTTTTTCTAAGCTGGTATTTTTTAGAGGAGCCTTTAAACAAAAAATGAACTGATACAACTGTAGTTAATCCTAGTTTACTAGAACAGCTGAGGTATTGAGACGCCACAGCTAAGCGCTAGACACAGCAGCATGTGACTATAATCCCTGGTATAGTTCTAGTTACTTTGGAGACTGAGGAAAGAGGGTCACTAGAGCCCAGGAGTTCAGACCAGCCAGAGCAACAACGCAACATGCCCCTCTGTGGAAAATCTAAGTAAATTAATAAATAGAACTGGCTAGACTGAGGTGGTAAGTTTCATCGCTATAATTAACCAATTCATTCATTTTATACAACTTCTTTGTTACTTCTCAGGGGTTACTCAAATGCTCGGGAAAACACAGGTTCAGGTAGAGTATCTAGCAGAGAGTCTAATAAAGTAAATGGTGCCTATTGTTATACCTTGCTTTTGTTTCTTAAAGTGTCCTTCTCAAAATGTATCCAGTGCTGGCAATCATTTCTTTTTTTTTTACTGGAAATCAAACTCACAGGGGAGATAGCTCAGTAGAATAAGCACCTGCCTGGCAAGCGCAGGGTCCTGAGTTCAATCCCCGGTACCACAAAAACAAACAAACAGACAAACTCAGGACCTTGTGCTTGCCAGGCAGGCGCTGTGCCCGCTGAGCCATAACCCGAGCCCTGTAATGATCTTGCAAAATAACAGAAATCTGAACAATTACAGAATTCCTTGGTGAGATTTGACCTGGTGTGCCACTTCGTAACTTCATTACTTTCTTAAATTCAGCTTTACACTAATTTATGTAGTGCTCACCACAAAGTACCTTCTTAGAGTACTAACTTAATAAAACACTGAAATGCTCTCTTTTCCCAGGCTCCAAAATTGTCACTTTCAAAGTAATGCACATATGCTAAATAAATAACCATGAACCATAAGCTATTTGATGTCTTAGAAGTAAATCAATGGACTCACATGGTGATCTTCAATGTTTTTCAACAGCCGGGGATCATTAAAGTCACAAGAATCACTGGTGGGAGGAGGCATCCGACTGCAAGAGAAAACAAAAAATATTTATCCAATTCAAAAGTGCCAGTTATGACATCTCAAATCTGGTAAGAATCCAACTTCAGGAAGAACCACATATAATAACTCCACAGATCTGTAGTCAATCTTTAAAGATTTGCAACACCGCATGTTATTTCAAATATTAAGATAGTAAATCCTTACTGCTATTATAAATAAAATATTTTATAGGTTCTTACAAACAACAGTATAGTTACAAGGGAAAGAAACAGAAGTCATGGTTTGATACTATGACTTTGTTATTTCAGTTGGGCCCTGCACAACTTCTACCATAAAATATATATTCAAGAAGGTCTTCTCAAAGCAGACCACAGGAATTATTGAACTGTATATGGGCACTCATTTAAGGCCACAAAGGAAACAATATAATGGCAATGTGCCATCACATGGAAGAAATGTAAAGGATGAGCATATTCACCCCTCTCTCCTGTCCTTAAACCCTTTCTCACAACACTGACAATAAAAGAGAAGACAACATAGCTCATGTCAGTTTTAACTCTGAATAAATACTGTACAGTATTAACAGGCAATACAGGAGGGGGAAAAAACAACCAACAGCTTCTAAAAATATGAGCTGTTGCCCCCACAGAACCCAATGAAGGCTGAGGAGATAAACAGCAGCATGAGGTACCTGAGAAGTCTGTGAAGTTATCTCTGAAGTACAGTGTGACAGTTAATCATGATTGTCAGTTCACTGGAATAAGACACCTAGAGAGGACGTATGGATTCTGAGGGCCCTGACTTCATCAAGCAGATTATCCCAGTCATGAGATCATAGTTGGATGGCATTATCAGGGGTGAGGGAGACTTGGGAGGCAGGGCCCTGGTGAAAGGAGAGGACCACAGGGAATGGCCTTCAGGACCGCATCTTGGTTCTGGACCTTTCCTCTCTGGGTTTCTCTCCCTCTCTGCTTCCGGGCTACCATAAGGTAAGCAACTTTCCTCCACTATGCTGGCTTCTTCCCTGTCACAGGTATGATGAAGCCAAGAAACTATGGACAGAAACCTTTGAAGCCATCGTCCAAAGTAAACCTTCCCTCCTTAAAGTTGACTTACACCACTATTTTGTCACAGCAACAGAAAGTTAACTTCTACAAGGAAAGCAGATGACAAGACAGTTTCTGAGTCCACTTGAAGGACCCTCAGCTTGCAAGAACACTCCTTCCTCTCATATGGCCAGACAACAGGGCTCCCTACACCCAGAAAGGGTAGAAGTCTCACCTTTTAGACAGGGTAAACCAGAGTAGCTTTGGCCTGATATACTATTCATCACTAAAAAGAGTTACGCTAAAAAGCAACAAAAAACAAAGGAACTATAAATACATATTACTAAGTGAAAGAAGCCATCAAAACAGGCTGTCCACTGTACAACTCCAACTGGAAAGGACGGGATCATTCTTGAAATACAAAGCTGTGGCAACAGTAAGGAAATCGGGTCACAGACTGCATGCAGTGTATACTCCTATAACTCCAGTTTTGGGAGGCTGAGGCAAAAGAATCACTTAGGCAACTTTGTGAGACCATGTTTCAAAATTAGAAGTTGTATAAAGGACTGGGGCTTTAGCTCAGTGTGGAGAGTTTGGTTCAATCCCCCGTACCAAAACAAAATCAATGCTTTTCAGGGCCTGGGGCTTGGGACCTTGAATCGCCAAGCATAGAGGATTTTAAGAGCCGTGAAAATACGCCATGATAATGAAGTGTACATGATAATGATGCGTGCACAACACCCCCAGGACAGACGGTGCCAAGAGTAAGTCCTCCTGCTCAGTGTGGACTCCAGGAGGCAACGCTGTGTCGGTGCAGGGTCACTGACTGTGGCTCATCCACTGCTCTGATGGGGGATCCTGCTAATGGGGCAAGCTGTGGAGGTCGGCACGGGTCACAGGAAAAGTCTCTTCACCTTCTTAATTCGTTATGAGACAAAAATATCTCTTTACGAGTATTTTAAAGATCATTAAAGTGGCCAATTTTATGTTTCGTGTATTTACCACAAAGGAAAGTAATGTTAAAATATATGTACATATAGCCAGTGATCACCAGGGTCATGAAGAAGCCTATAAAATTAAGAAATCAACCCAGAGAGTCATGGTGAGAGCTGAGGGTAGGAGAGCAGCACAAAAGAAATGAAAATGAAAGAGCAAGGTTAGGAAAGTGCTTTTGAAAGCTGAAAACAGGAGCGCCAGAAAACTCTCAGGAAGGATACAAGGAGGAAGAACTAGCAGAGAGTAAAACAACAAAGAAATGGAAAGTGAGATTAAAAGGTAATAAACTGGAAGATCATCTCCAAAGGCTGAATATTTGCCTAACAGGAGACCTGACAAAACAGAGAGGTTGAAGGGAGAGGAAAATTTTCATGAAAAGAGTGTAAGGACACTTCCCTAAAATCAATAAGAGCAACTTACAGGCAGAAATCACTCACTAGTAGTCCACTGAATGCTCAACATAATGAAGGAAACTAAGCACACACCAAGGGCCACAGTTGCAAGCCAGTGTGCTCAAGACACAGAGGGCTACCAAAGGGCTGGCACGGGGCTACAGGAGCCAGGGGCCAGGTCCCACACAGAGGAGCAGATGCTGAAACCTCTTGTGTGGTAGAAAATCGATCAATGCCTACAACCTTAAAACATGTTACATTACCAATATATCATTATGAAATATAGCAATTAACACTTTTTGAAGCGTCAAAAAGTTATGGCTGGTTGCTTTAAGGAAATAGCAAATTCTGCACCACGGGCAGACTACTGTTGTTAAAGATGTGTAGTATGGACTTTTAAAACCATGTTCACGTTTAAATCTTATTCTGATTTTCTTTCAAAATAACATATATGACTTTTATTTACACATGAACCATTCAGATAAAGAGAGCTATGGTACAACTTTTCTGCAGCCTCTCAGACGGACGTGGCAGGAAATGTGAGGATGTACTCACGAGAAGTCATCTGAGGATGGCTCTCTCGTCAGCTCTGGGAAATGCCTGGCAGAGAGGAAAACACACTTGTCACAAAACAGGTCAAAAGACAGGCACTCAGACCCAGACCCAGGAAAGAAACTTACAAGCATTTGCTTAGCTATGCAGAGTCACCGGGCCACTGGGATTTCTTAGTGTTTGTAAAAATAAATCACATTTTAACTATTTAAAATTACATTTGGGGGTTGGTGAGATGGCTCAGTGGTCTAAAGCACCTACTTAGAACAAGCTGAGCAAAAGCACAGGGACCATGGTTCAATCCCCAGCACCACATGCCAGCCAGCCCCGCCCCCAGCTGGGCTGAACTGGCCACACACACACAAAATAAATAAATAAATTTTAAAAAAATAAAAAATAAAATTACATTTGGTACTTGATTAAGTGCTACATGTAACCGACTTAAACTCACATAGCATCCAATAGGAACTGTATATCTATATCCCTCATAAACATCAAAAAGTTAAGATACTTGAGGAAGCAGCTAGCAATAAGTTTATCTTGGTGGAAGAACACAGGAGAAATGTCCAGTAAGTAATGACTATAACCACACTTACCCATAGGTTACTCCTGCAATGCTACACTTTTTGAAGTTCATGATATTACATGTCAGAGTTCCGGTCTTGTCAGAAAATAGATATTTTACCTAAAACAAAGGATAAAAGAAAGGCACACCAAGAGTGAAATAAGATGCAAAGATGAGTAAATGAAGTCTTTCCTTCTTATGTGTTATAATCTGTATTAAATTTAGATGAGTAGACTTTCTGAAATTAAAGATAGTAATAAAAAATATATATTTCAATCCTTAGATCAGTCATAAATATCTTTCTGTAATTAATTTTATAGTGAGATTTTTCCAGAATTTGCAAAGGAAGCTGTAGTAAGAACCCTGGCACTAACTATAAGTATGAACATTAGGTCCCTTCAAACAGTATCTCAATACCATATTTCATTCTTCAAGATACTGCTTGGGGACCATAGGTGTGGCTCACTTGCTAATATATACAAGGCAAGGATTTGACCCCCAGCACTGCAAAAAAAAGGGAGAGAGTACACAGAGAAGATGCATGTGAAGATAGAACAGATGTGGTAAAAGTTATACTGCGTTTCAAGATGCAAAGATATACAGATTAAACACATGACTTCTCGACACACAAAGGCAAAAGGGACATCATGGAGTGGACCAACATGTTAACCACCTTGACAATATTAGCTGAATGCAAAAGAGCCATGCTCTACCTGTAAACATGGGAAAACTATGCCATCTCAGATCAACAATGTAGTGGAGAAAAGGGAAGGAACTCTGGGCTACGAGAAGAGTGAGTCCAGTATGGACTGTGGGCACTAAATGGGCATTCGAGTGCTTCCACATTCACCTTGAGGGTGATTAACAGTCCCAGAGGAAACTTCCTTTTCTCAATGGTTTTCTAGAGAGAAACCATGATAGGCACTACAAAATGTCAAGAGATCCTAGGAAACTGGTCTAGAGAAGCAGCATTTTACAGTGCTATGGAAGAGAGATTAATAACATGAATTGCTTACTGTGTACATTTTCTTTTAAAAAATGTAAACAAACAAACTGAAAATTATTTTTCAAGACACAAAAGGACTTCCAAGTAATGAAAAATGGGCTAGATCTATAGCTCAGTGGCATAAGCACCTGTCTGGCAAGTGCAAGGTCTGAATTTAATTCTCAAGTACCAAAATTTAAAAAAAAAATTCAAGTAAAGAAAAATTGCTAAGGTTGCTAAAGAAATCAAACATGACATACAGATATTAAATTAGTACACCAGGGGTAGCTTATGCTTTCCTAATAATCTCTTACATTTACATTTACATTTTTATTCTTTTTTTTTTTTTTTTTTGCTATACCAGTGATTGAACTTGGGACCTTGTGCTTGCCAGTCAAGCACTTATGCTGCTGAGCTCTCACTCTCTGGCCTTTTTATTCTATTTTTATCACACACATTTATTAGTATGATAATTTGATTCATGTAAGCAACATATAATGACTAAATTAGGGTTGTTAGCATATCTATTTCCTTAAATATTTTTATAATTTTTGATTAATATAATATATATTTATAAAGCATAGTATGATATTTCAATTCATGTATAAAATATACATTAATAAAATCAGGGTAATTGATGTGTCAACAATAAATTTTGTGTAAAATTTTTATAGCTTAAATCTAAGGATATAAATATACAGTAGAATCTGCCTTCAAATATACAGTGGTTCCTTCTGCCTTTAAAAAAAATAAGAGTTCAAAGTTGTAACAAAGTATTAAAAATGAAACTTTTATAATCAGAAATCATCAAAACTTGCTATCAAATTCCCTATTAAATTTTACTGTGTTCTTAACGTTCCAATTCAAATCTATTCAACATCAACTTGGTTGGTTTGGGAGCTGCCTAGAGATTAGTAAAACACACTTCCAGGTTGTCTGGGTGGGTCATGGGACCAGGACCTTGGGGACCATATTTGGCTACTGGCTTCTTCTCAGTCTCTCTTCCTGCTCTCTGCTTCCAGGCTGTGGAGGTGACCAGCTTTGCTCCACCATGCCCTTCCGCTATGATGGCTTAGAACCAGCCAACAATGGACTGGACTCCACAAACTGCGAGTCAAAATAAACCTCCATTCCCAGGAACTGGTGATGCCAAGTATTTTGTGCCAGCAGGGGAAAACTGACTAATACACTACATCCTATGAAGGGAATGATTTCAGTTGGGTCATCTTGAGTACTTTCAGTCTTTCAATTCTTCAGGCCCAGTTCAATGGCACCTGAGAACAAGGGAACACTTCACAGAATTCACAGAAACCACATGTAACCTGTACAATCTTCCCTCAGTATCCTTAGAGAACTGACTCTAGGAAACTGCCTTGAACACCAAAACCTGTGGATGCTCAAGTCCCTTCTCTAAAATGTTGTAGTATTTGCATAGAACCTATGTGCATTCTTCTACATGTCTTCAGTCATTCCTAGAGGACTTGTAATACCTACTGCTGTATAAATACTAAGCAAACAGTTGTTATACTGGTTTGTTTATGGTTTAAGAACCAGAAAAAGTCTGTCCATGTCTGTAGCCAATGCCCAGCTGCAGTTTCAATGTGGTCTTGGCTGAATCTGTGGATGAAGAAAACATGCACACAGAGCTAACCATGCAGGGCACATCCCTGCTTTCCAACAGGCTCTTCTTCAGAAGAAAACAGATATGTGATAACTAGTCTCATCTTTTATTTCATTGTATATGTTTGGGGAGACTTTTGTAGTAATGTAGAAGATAGACTAATTTTGCCAGGAAAACTAGAAAAGAAAAATACAGTCTATTATGGCTTATGTTTAGATGTCTCCTTAAAGTCTCATGTGGTCACAGGTGGGTTTTTTCAGAGGTGGCTGGACATAGAATGTGTGATGTTAGGAGTGATTTATGGTTCAGTGCTAGGGTCAAGGACACTAGGATGAAGGATATAAGTGGTACCTGCCCTAAGTTGCCCGGCTAAGATATAAGGGATGGAAAGAGCTGTGGTGGCCTCTTGTTTTGCTACCTTCTTCCTGCCATGAACTATTTCTCCTCTGTGATGCCACCCCACCTTGGCGCCAGCAAATTATGAACTGAAACCTCTACAGTCCATGAGCTAACTAAAGCTTTGATCCTTTAATTGTGAGTACAAGGTATTTTGTCTTAGTAACAAGAAAAGTAACTGAGACACTGACATATAATGAGAATGTATGAAGTTGCATAGGACTAGGATTTTACCAACGATGAATGAAGTTTTTACAGGAAGAGAAAATGTAAGCAAAATCAGCAACAGCTACAAATATGAAGTGCAACTCTAGGGCCTGCTCTATGTACTGACCCTTGCCCTATGTACCTGGAGCACAACAGGGCAAGGAGGCTAGGGGCATTGGCTTTGCTGAGGGTGATTTGTACTCTGTGCCAGGGATGATCTCTTCCGTCAGAATCCCACTTGTTATTCTACAAACTTAAGGGTACTTCTGTAAATGTGCACAGTTCAAGAAAAGATAGAAACTTTCACTATTAACTCTAAAAATATTTTAAAAATTATATCAGAGAAACAGACAAGTGTTTTTGCCCACAGAATTCTATTTTATTACATAATTTGGTACACAAATTTGGACTTCAGTTTCTAGCAATAAATTCATCAACTCTACATAAGTCATTATTTTTGAGAGGGAGTTAAAGAAATAAAGTACCTCTATGTAATACTTTTCTAACCCTCAGGTGAATAAGACATTTGACCTCTTCTTCAGAGGGACACAGGATGGGGAGACATTTCTACAACAGGAAAGGAAGAATAAGGCCAGATTTGGACAATCTGTAGTCCTCAATCTGTCATTCATTAGCCAAGTTTGCTGGACTAAGTTACTCATTTCTCATCGATGCATTGAAGATATAGTACCCACCTCATGGGATAGTTGGGAGGTTTAGTATGTACAAAATGAAATCCTAATCTTCACTGCAATGCATTCAAAAATTGCTACTCCCTGCAGCCATTTCAATGGAAAAGGCAGATTTAATGTAAAGTGCAACTCAAGAGGGTCAAGAAGAGTTTGGGGCGAAGGTGCTAAACTCACAGCTACCCTGGAATACAGATAAAATCTTGAGGCCACATGTCCTTCCAAAAGCCCCCACACATTTTGTGATATTACACAATATCTAACCTGCCATTTGCCTCTGTTAAACACTGTTTAAAAGCTTCCAAAATTATATTCTACTATATTTTGTACTAAAATTTTTGCAGACAACTGCTTATGCCACTGTTGCAAATGCTCCCAAAGAGGTTCTCACCTGCCCAAGCTCTTCATTAAGGTTTGATGTTCTGGCCATTGCAGGAGTGTCATTTTCTATATAATACATATCTGTGTCCTGAGAGAGAGACAGAGACAGACAGAGAGAGAGAGAGAGAGAGAGAGAGAGAGAGAGAGAGAGAGAGAGAGAGAGAGAAAATAAAATATGTACCATTGATCTTCATTCTGATTAACACAGACATTAAGAACAGGTAACTTAAAACACTTTCATTTTAATATATATGCTAATTCTTTTTATTTTGAGGTAAAAATACAGTGACTATTCGAATACAAAAATCTTGTTACATACACGAGGAACGGGAAAACAGTATTTTAGACACAGAAGGTTTTGTTTCAAGACCATCTCGTTTTATGACCTATGCTAATTCCTGATTTTGTGCTTAGTACATCATTTCCAGAACTGCTATAAAGATCAAATAAAGGTGAATGTATGTAGCCTTGTCTGTAAATTCTGACTGCTGGCATGTAGTGCTTCAGGGTCATGACTGCCCTTTAAAAATCCAGGGGTAGGGATGAGGGTGCAGCTCAGTTTGTAGTGTTATAGCAAGCAACCTTGGACAGCATGAGGGATGGAAACAATTATCCAGAGAGAAAACCTAGTTGAGTCACAGAGAGGTGCATAGCAGCTAATTTTCAACCAAAACTTCAGAAGAAAAGGCCCCTTGGGACCTCTCAGCAACTAAACCAAGTCTGGTCTCAGGGCAATGGTTCCCATCCTCTACCACAGCAGCTCACTGCGGAAAGTGAAGTCCTCTGTGAGGTGAAACAAGGTGCTGCACATGAGCACAGAAGACCAAACGCCCATGCCTGGAAGGGGACCCAGGATGCCCTGTGGAGCTCTTCATCCCAGGAAGAGAAGAAAACCACAGAATAGCCCGGGTGAGGTCGATGGTCAGGTTTCTCATCCCAGAAAGCTCTTACCTATCCAACTGCTAAGTAAGCAGGGGCAATTTGTTTGTTTCTCACTTTATTCTCTGCTTCACTTCTCCTGCTTTGCCTACAATGGGTCAGGTTTTAAAAATAAAAAAAAAAAAATGTAAGAAATACTTAGAGTGTTTTTTTTTAATTCTAAGGAAGGGTCTACAGGATGTTCAAGCTCTCACTAGTAGATCCGACTCATAGTGATCCACCTGTTTACAACCTCCCAAGAGCTGCGATTACAAGGTGTGCACAACCATACCCAGTCTCTCCCTTTTTTTTTTTTTTTTCAGTTTTTTAATTTAAAGATTTTATTTTCTCATTTTAATGTCAAGTTTGTTTTATGTCTACAATAATATAAAAACATTACAGGAAAACTGTTAATCACCAGAACCCCCAAGTTATTAAATAATCAAACTTAAATGGGCAACTATCCAGTTAAGGCAGGAAATTTTCTTTTGGTTTTATTTTGTCTCTTAAGGTAAACAAGTAACTCCAGATAATTTTATTATTATTATCTAAAAAGAATACAAAATGTTTAAAAATGAGAAATGATAAAGAACTTCACAAAGGAACCAATAGGAATTAACAATGGTTGCTACATTGCATAATGTCGTCTCAAATTAATTGTTTAGATTATCAGATATAAGCATGCAAAATTGGAAAAAAATGTTGTAAGAAATTTATTTATTTATTTATTTATTTTTATTTTTGTATTTTTTAGGGATACGCCCAGTCTCAATTGCCAGCTCAGTGTGCCCCAGGGGCGGGGCCAGCTCAGCAGGCCCAGTGATCACCAGCCCCTGTGCCTGCTTGCAGGCACTTTAATCAGCTGAGCTATTTGGCCAGCCCTAGAATGTCTTTTAAAAATATGTTAGTACAAAAATAAAAGCTTTTAGAAAAGGAAGCAAAAGAAAAAACAAAAAGAAGATTGAAGACAAAAATGTCAAACCCACAAAATATGATAAACTGAGACAAGTCCATCAAAAAAAAAAAAAAAACTTCCTATCAGTATTGTTACAAAGATGCAGCACAGCAACAGCACAAACATCTGAGAGAGCGCCGTGATTAAACATAACTATTTTAGGTGTTCTGTAGTCTACCTTGTCTGTTCATCTGCCTATTAATCTGGTTTAATAACTCATAAGGTACCTGCAGCTGTTTCACTAAAGATTACTGATTCAAATAAATTTTTTTCTTTTATTTTTGTTCTTAGAAACTTCTGGCTCTTAGAATGAGCCAAAATAAAACTCATTACAGTGCAAAAACTAATAGACTTAAGGGATACTTAAAGTTTGGTAAGATAAACACTACACATGATTTAGGATGAGATACAGTGTGCTAACTTTCAAATACATATTATTCTCCAAAATTGACACTAATGATATTAACCCAAATGCTTTTTGAATTACATAGCTTAATAGTGGGCTTATTTAAATCAGTTTGTAAAAGTAGGGATGTCTTTAAAGTTGGAGACATGTGTCCTTACAGGTTGTTAGCCAATCAAAATAATATCAACATTGGTGTTATAAATACAATGCCTATTGTTGTCTGTATGTATTCTAAAGGCTTTGTCATTGGTATTCAAGAAAGAAACATAAAAATGAGACTAAAAGTCTTCTAATACAGAGACATACTCTTATGAATTAAAAGTAAAAGCACACAGCTCCTCAACTCCCACATGCCTAATGGTGGCACTCTTACAAAAGTATAAATCAAAGCCTCACTTTTGCTGCCTTTGGCATCCAGTTTGGGTCTAGACAAACAAATTCCTTTCATTTACAACGTAGGACTTCCTTGGGGGATTCTATGCCTGTGTGCAATGGATCCTGGGGAAGAGGAAGGCATGACCCACCCCATTTTTTGAGTGGTCTACTCTGCCTAGATACTCTGTCCATGTAAAAGCTATAGAACACTAAACAGTGTGGTTTTAAATACAATAAAACCCACATAAGAAAAAATAAAGATACTTACAGCTACCAAATAACCTCATGTGAAAGCCAAAATAAAATATTACTGTACAGATACTTGCCTCTTTAGAGTCCAGACATCCTTCAACTACAATATAAAAATGCCAGTGCTCATTGTCAGAGAGTCCTAACACCTCTTTTAAAAATGTAAATCCTGGGCTGGTGAGATGGCTCAGTGGTCTAAAGCACCTACTTAGAACAAGCTTAGCAAAGCTCAGGGATCGTGGTTCAATCCGCCAGCACCACATGCCAGCCAGCCCCGCCCCCTGGTGGGCTGAGCTGGCCACACACACACACACACACACACACACACACACACATAAATTTTTTTTAAAAAATGTAAATACTGCTTAAATGATTACAGCTTATCAAAAAGTAAGAACTGAGATTTATAAGACACAGGAGCTTGCTGATACATTAAAGCCTCAAAAAGTATTATAATTTTGGCAAGGAGACATCTCAAAAGGATTATAAAAATAATAGGCACAATAGAGAGACCAAACATCAAAAATATCCTAAATGTAATGAAGAATATCATTGCATCAATCATTTCACTCTAAATTTGATAACAAGGTGAGCCTATAACAAGAGACAGAAAGAAACTTCCCCAGCCCTGGTAAAATCAGGCAGTCAGGCATAAAATCATCATAGTCTGGCATGAGAGCTAATCCAGAGTCACAAGAAGAGCCCATTGTCACACATCTTAGCTAACTGACAAATTTACTTGTGGCTTTTCATGTAAGTTGGTTTGTTTGCTTAATATGTTTAAAACATTTTCAGTGCATTGTAAATTTTTAAGTTACAGAGTTAACTTACTCTTCCTCAGCTTTCTGCTGGTGATAAGAATACTGACTCAAAGTTACTTGAACATCTGTGGGCAACCAGTCGAATTTAAAAATGCAAAATCTAAGAACATAGGGTTGGAGGAGAGAGGACAGAGAAAAGCACTTAAAAATGGGGCCAGGGAGATGGCTCAGTGTTATAAGTGCTTTCCTGGCAAGTGCAAGGGCCTGAGTTCAATCCCTGGTTCTGCCAAAAATAAAAAATCCAAGTGGCTACAGCCAAGTTTGTCATGAAAAGTTTATAGTAAGTAGGACAGAGAAAAATTTATAAAGAAGATTGTAAGTGTAAGAGATACAGTTTTGATGGGACAATCTTGTA